TCGATGTTGCCGCTGATGTTTTCGTAGTCGTTCGAGTCGATGTTGCCATTGATGCTGCCATGAGTATTCTTGTCGATACTGCCGTCGATGTTGACGTGGGCGTACCTGTCAAACATTGTGAGTACGAGGAGTTATCATATTGGCAAAAACCTGGTGAGCAACATAGAGTTGAACCATGATATCCTATACCGCCACACTGCCCATACAAAGAAATACACTGAGCTAAATCAATAGAAAAATCAACAAAAACAATGCGCACAAGTTTGTTGAAAAATTGCCATACTTGTCGTGAAAGCGACGCATGGAATAGAACATAGTCCGATAAGAACAATGGTAAAAGCGTTGGACATAATTTTCACTAATCTAAAATAGTACAAAATATCTTCTTGTTTATTGGGACATTATTCAGATATTGGATAGTAAGGTTAAGTTGCTTGTCTTTTAACTTAGATGGATATTTTCACTTATAGATGTGTAGGGGAAGCTTACAAAGTGGTGGGCCATGATGTGAGTTGATGAAGAATGGATGTATATTCAGCAATCAAACTAAGAACTTATGAGTAGCCTTCAATTTCAACGATTCAAATTGCCCTTTATGACGGTTGGTAAACATCTGCATACAAAGCATTCATTAAATTTTGTTTTGTATGACGTGCAACGCTTTTACACAGCAATCATCAATGAAGAAGAGATTTTAACAATACATATATATGCATTTCGTGCCAAAGTTACAGTATTTGTTGAAGTTGTCACTTCAATAAATATTTTCACCAGTAGTGATCTAAACTGGTCGAGCGGAGCAGACTGATCAGTAGACTAGCACGAGTCATTTCTAACGTTTCTCATCCTATACGATTCAAATCTAAAACAAGAAAATGAACTCTATGTCTCGTAGCTTGCCTCAAAGACCATGACAAGCATATCGATTTACTTTCAACCTAATGACAGACTGTAAAAGAGATGTTGATATGTCTGTAACGATTCAGGAGATTTCTCGGCATGACCTATCATATACATGATCAGGTTTGATCAAGGAGGAAAAAGCGAAAATTCTGAATTTCAGTGTATTCCAAAAATATGCCAAAACCATCTTTCTTAGAACTTCTTACCATGCCCAGACTAGTTTCATTATGTGCCATGAATTTATTAGTTTGAATTCATTTCATATTAATGTGTCTGATAATAAATCTCAAATACTTTATTTTACATCGAAATTTGAGCATCAATGAATTTCGATGAAGTATTTGAGTTGTACTGTCAGGTATACATATATAAAATGAACTAAAAGTAGTATGCTCATAACGCATGGTGAAATTAGACCTGATATGGCTAGGAAGTTGTAAAAATAGCTTTGATATATCCTTGAAGTACACTGAAATACAATGAAGTGCACGTGAAATATGGAGTGTTCGCTTTTTCCCCATTAGCTTTCCCATATTAGTAAAACTAATAGCATCATATTTAACTACATGTTTTCATAAGTTTTCTCTTTTGGCATCTATCAATGGAGATATAATTTCATAGGGCTATCCATTTCTCTTATTAGCTTTGTAAACTAATGAGACGTTCATCAGACATAGAAATTATGAATCAACTGTAGGTGCACTCAGCTTCTCACAGTAGATTTTCTTTGTTACCTCTTATGTTTCTGCGAAAGATATGGTATAAATAATAGGAAATGAAAATAACTATATAATAAACTACAAAGATGAACAGTGGTTCTATTTTATTTCGATACTAAAATTTGACATTAAAGGAGCTT